AAGACCACGGCCACACAGCCCGGAAGACCCACACCAGCCATTACTGCTAACTGTATCTTCAAGATTTTTTATAAGCTCCAAAAAGAATATACCTCACAAAAATTGATGAATGGCAATATATATTCAGTTAAAACATTTGTTATGTTCTAAATTTGGATCAGAAGCACTGGTGGCCTCAGAAACTACAATAATTTTCAGTATATTAGACAAAGTCCTTTTAGAGGTTAAACCACCAATTCAATTTCATTAAGAATTGAAGAATCTAACTAAAATAAATGTAGATAATTTACAAGAAATTGGGAATAAAGAATATCCATTTCTTACGGTCTGATGTTTTAAATAATGTTAATAAAAATGTTTCTTACAATCTTAAGATAACACTAATATACCAAAAATTCTGTTCTGGGTCTATTCTATTCCATAAAGGATGTATAAAAGGGATTCGTTATCTTTCTGAGCGGTAAATGCAAAGGTATATTAACATGTGATTTGGTCATGATTTTCTGGTTGAATTGTCTTAATATGATTAAGATTTTGATTAGGGCATTAAGATTCAAAGTTGTTTGTTATTAAATTATATTCCTAAAATTTGGAATTTATCTTATTTATGAAGGACCTCGGATCTTTCAAGCCTGGGTTATAACAAAAAAAAGTTTGGGTTTTTGGAAAGACATACATACACCCAGTGGAAAAAGTGCACTTATGAAATGTGTGCATTTCTATCTTTGACCTGGTTCTTTATCAACATGATGGTATGACTGGACTGTATGATTCTGTGGTCAAGCTTTAATTTGTTGTTTAAAAATTGGTCTTTATTACTCTCCAAATATTTATATTTTTGTTGTATTTTATTTAGTTATTTATTTCCTTTTTCTTTTTGTACTTTATGGATCTTGTATTTTTATTTTTTATTTTTTTGTTCTATCAAAGCATTAAACCTATTTTTGAAAAAAGGAAGACCTGATTAATTTTTGTTACATTATTCCATGCTTGCACAGATAAATGCTTTCTGGCTGACCTAAAGTAGTTCAGTTTGTACCTTTAGTTCAGGATTAATTACAGTTTGGTTTCTTGATCCTTCAGGTCTGTTTGGATAATACCATAACCACTGAAAAAGAACTTGACACTGTGGAAGTGTTGAAGGCTATACAGAAAGCAAAAGATGTAAAATATAAAATGAGTAATTCTGATAAGAAGGTGAGACTTTATATGAATAAATGTATGACTACTTTAACAGTCATCTCCTATTAAATAAAGCAGTAAATTGTGTTTAAATATTTTAAGGTTAGCATCTTTCCCCAAAGCTGAGATTTTATTAACCTACTGCACTTACAAGGAAGAAATTAATCATAATTTTGTATGTCATTTGAACGAACCCTAAACTGTAATTAAGACTAGCCACAGTTTGCCTATGGCTGACTAGGTCACCAAGTTGTAGATATTAGAGAAATGAAATAAAAGCTTCTGAATTCCTCCCAGGTAGAAGAGGCAGATGAGATAAGGGGCAACCAAGGTTTATTCTCATTATACCAAACAGTAGTTTAGCATTATGTAGTAGTATTAATAACATTGCAGGCTTAGTTTAAAAAAAAAGTTTTGTAACATAATATAGGTAGTCCTTGCTTAATAACCACAATTGGGACCAGGAAGTCTGTCGCCAAGCAATGCAATCGTTAAGTGAGACATCACATGATTGCGATGGACTTCGATGTCACTTCCCATTCTGTTGCTAAATGAATCACCCTGGTCTTTAAGTGAGACATCACATGACCACAACTTGTGATTTTATTGCCGGCTTCTCCATTGACTCTGCTTGTCAGAAGCTGGCTGTGAAGCCTGTAAATGGTGATCATGTGACCACGGGATGCTGCGACGGTCATAAATGCTCACCAGTTGCAAAGTGCCCGAATTTCAATCATGGGGATGCTGCGCTAGTCATAAGTGCAAGGACCAGTCATAAAGTTACTTTTTCAGCACAGTTGTAACTTTGAACAGTCACTAAACAAGGCAGTTGTTAAGTGAAGACTACCTGTATTGGATAACTCTAAAGCACCCTGTATCAATGCTTATAAGTCAATCCTTGTTTTCACTCAGTAGGGCTGCTTTGTAACCTTTGTTCCTAGCCTGTCTGTTTTTCTTTCTTAGATCCCGGAAGATTCCAAGCTTTCTGCTGCCAGTTCAAAATCAAACTGCTCCTCTCTTTCTGTTCATCCTTCCTCTCCTCCTTTGCCATGTCCTGCCAGCTCCAGTCAAGGTAATCATGTATGTATCATGCTGCTGGGCTGGGCCTCTTGGTTCTGCCTTTGTAGGCTGCATTGATATACATGAATTTATCTATATAGAAATGGGATTTGGCAGCCACAGTAGAAAAACCATTTCTATACTGATTTTGTAGCTTTCAGTGCTAATGATATTAAAATATATACAAACAATAAAACAAGCGAACAGTTATTTTACCATGGATGTTTTAATTTTTTAATGTAAACTGCTGTTGCTAGCTGCCTGGTATCTGAGCAGATTCCCTTGATATACAGGTCAAATCAATATGTTGCCATGTTCATTTTTATACATTTTTATATATCTGGATAAAATGGGGAAGAAGCAGAACCCTTGCTTTTCTCATCATGATTTTTTTGCTTTATTTTAGTATTTAGCTTTATAGCTACATTACAATTCTGCAAAGTATATTACCAGTTATATATTTGTAAGTACTAGCTTTAACAGTACTGTTTAGACAACAATGTAGCTTGAAATTGTAGCTACAGAAAAGAAGTTAAATGAGCTGAAAGATGTGTTAAATAAGCTTCAGTGGAGATATTTGCATAGCTGATATGTCATTCCTTTGTCCAAAAAATTTAAAACAGGCTTACTGCACATGTGACATCTACAAAGTGAATGTGTGTTTTTGGATCAATGGTGCAGCTAAGGTTGGAACTCAAGGTGAAAGTTGAGGCTCTGAGTATGATAGTCCTCAAGTGATTAATCAGTAAGCAGAAGTAATGGAGGGAGCAACAAACAGGCCCAGTGTCAACTACTAGGCTAACACAGGGCAAATCAAGGCCCAGTGGGATTAATGCTGCTTGCTGCAGCGTTCTTTACTTTTTTTCTTATTTGAAAAATTGTTTTATAATTTGGGACTATCTGTGGGACGTGTACTTCTAAGTAACATATACGACTATTGCAAAGGAGCTCTCTGCTTCCCCTCTCCACCCCCATAAAATACTTTAAATCCAGGTTTAAAGTTACCCAACTGCAACATTATTATCTGTTACTTTATTTGTACAATGGGTATTGCTAGCAAATAAAATACCTGCAAATTGGAATTATCCAGAATCTTTACTGGGAAAGTACGTGAGGTTGTAGTTTCATCTGCCAAATCACAAGGCTTTTTCAATAATAATTCGTTTCAGTAGGGTAGCTTTGTTATGATAGTACTCTGCTGATCTCAGACTATAAAGCTGACTGCTGTTCTTTGCTATTTTAAACTTTTAATCTTTGCTTTCTGTGAGCTACCAATAAGATGTCATTTCTCCCAAAGCTCAGGTGCTTTTCCAAATGTCAGAGTGACCAAAATTCAATAGTATGTTAATGAATGCATGAATATACACTTTTAAGACTATGTATTTGGAGAGGGACCATGAACTCATGCAGTGTATGTTTTGGGTTCCCGATTTCTGACTTCTCTAGTCTGGATTAGAAGCTTCACAGACCTGCAGATTCATGGGATGAATTGTAAAAAGGGCACTGAGGTGGGGGCCATTCAGTTTAGTTTTATTTTCATAAATGATGACAGGACTATGTTTATGGCACCGTCTGTTTCTATAAAAAATTAATCATATCAGATGTCACTGGCTTTTTTTTTTAAAAAGGATAATCCAATATTTAAATATTTCTACAAGAAACAGAAAATAATATAAATAATGCTTTAACTTCCTCTTGTCAGAAAACGACAGACACGGGTTCGGTTATCCAGTAGACAGAAGTTTTTATTGGG